TTCGTTCTTTAGTGAGGCACGGTGGAATAATGGATAGAGGCTCGGTTTGAGGAATCGGAGAGCCGAGTTCGAATTACAGTCGAATCGATTACATTCACTTACGTGCTAATACCCTTGGGAAAGGTATGAATCCTCGTCTTCTCCCCAGCCCCCAGCAGGACAGAACGGGTTCTGTAACCTTGGATGGCAACTGCTCTGCCACTGAAAGAAGTCGCAACGTACTGCGGAAAAAAAATCTGCCTCGTCAGTCTAGTCATGTGTTGAAAGCGTGTATCATGTATGGCACATAAATGATTGACTGACTCTTCGTTCACTTCCCAGATATTTAAATCGTTGTACTTGCTTGATTTTGGTTTATCCAATTTGTAATTCGTATGTTGGGCTGTTCCTTTTTGCAAACAACAATGCATTCTGTTTGTTTTGGGTTTTTTTCTTCTTGTAATTAATGTTTGGTTCTTCCTTTTCGTTTTCCTTTAATACCCTCTGTGAGGATTCTTGTAGTTTCCTTTAAAAGATTTACATCTATGTGTATATGCAAAATCGCATCAACGTTAAACTGGAAAAAAAAAAAAAAACAAACGAAGAAAGAAACAAAAAAAAAAAGCATGTTTGAATAAATAGTGCGATATTTTCAAAGAGCCAATGGCAGATAAACTCTACAAATGCGGTTTGCTGTTTTTGTTCCCGCTTTTTTTTTTACCGACAAAAGGAAAATTCGTGATAATAGCACTTCCTTCCGAGACGTTTTTTTTTTTTTTTTTTCCCGATCGTTTTCTCGCATTATTGTTGTGAACGGCAGGAGGCCAGCAGACAATACATTCAAACGTACCTTGTTGTTTCCATTCTACTCCGTTTTATCTTTCGTGTTATCTTGTTCCCTTTAGATTTGCTTTTCCTTAACCTCCTCTCGTTTCTTCTTCTTCTTGTCTTAACTTTGATTCCATTGCTTTCTCGTTCTTGTATATTTGAGATTTGTGCCGCCTATTCGTTTCGTTCGTCTACTTTAACAGCACAACCATCATCATTACATTGTCTTCTTTTTCTTTTCTTCTTCTTTTCTTCTTCTTCTTTTCCTTCTTCTTCATTTGGTTTCCTTTTTCCTCTTCCTCCATTTCTTCTTCTTCTTCTTCTTCTTCATTTGTTTTCCTTGTATATAATCTTCCATTTCTTCTTCTTTTTCTTCTTCACCTTTTCTTCTTCATTTCTTTTCCTTTTCTCTCATCCTACTAACTCAATAAGCACGAACTATTACGGTTGTTTTTTGTTTTTTTAATAGTGGGTCCCTATAATAATTTTAAGGTGTGTTCGATATCAATGATATAGCGTATGTAAATGTAAAAGTGGACATCGAGGTCAACACACAGCAGCGACGCTCATCCTTAAATGCTTTGAGAATTGCTTTTAAGCATGAAACATGAGGACTGTCGACCTCAATGGCTATATATATATATATATATATATATATATATATATATATATATATATATAGTCATTTATTGGAAAATTCGGACATAAAAATGTTATAAAATCACTACAAAAATAACCATTTTGTTTTTAACACTTCTGGTGTTTTCTCAAGTGATGGTGTTAAGACACCAGAAGTGTTAAAACAAAATGGCTATTTTTGTAGTGATTTTCTTTAATTTTATGTCAGAATTTTCGAGTAAATGATTATATTTGCTCTACTCTGCATTGTATTTGTTGGTTATTGGAATTTATTCCGTAAACACACCTAGCCATACCTATATATATATATATATATATATATATATATATATATATATATATATATATGTGTGTGTGTGTGTGTGATTCGCAGACAGTACAGTTTCGCAACTCCACATTACGACTAGACATCCGATATCCGAATGCATCAAGACCGGATCGAAACACTACCGTTTTGGTATCAATCAGTTTCTACCACTGAGCTATCTTCATTCGACAGAGAGAAACCGCTAAATCTAGCGTATTGTTTTTACGAATGTAAACAAACGGCAATCAGCCAGAGTATTCCAATTCGCAGACAGTACTCTTTCGCAGCACCTCAATGCAACAAGACATCCGAATGCCTTCCTTCATATATATATATATATATATATATATATATATATATATATGGGGAGGTACGGTGGAGTAATAATGAAACACGGTGGAGACTAGTTAGCGTGTCGGATTCAGGAATCTCAAAAAAGGTTTGAATTCTAGTCGAGTTCGTTACAGACACTAACTTGCACATAATCATGGGAAAGGTATAAACGCATCTTTTCTCTTCCCAGCTATGAGTAAATAGCATGACAGACTGGGTTGCAATCGTTATATGAGAAGGGCAGCTCCAGATCTGAGGAGGACCGTTTGGAAACCTTGTGGCACACTATATGCACCAGTTTTCTGTATTCGGTCCTTCCAAAAATTGTTGTCAGTTCTGCACAAGCCTTTACCTATATACTCGAATCCTAGGAGCAAGTGGGCTGAATCTTCTGTTCTAAGACCTGGGTTACACACACACACACACACACATATATATATATATATATATATATATATATATATATATGCGTGTGTGTGTGTGTGTGTGTGATGATGGACTGATGCATGATGCATGAGAGAGAGAGAGAGAGAGAGAGAGAGAGAGAGAGAGAGAGAGATTTAATAAACAAAAAGATTAAAATCCTGATGGAGAACACCTTACTTTTATACAGTCCCCCCCGACAGCACAGACCTGTAGCCGTAGTTCTCACTATATAAAAATAAAAAAAATAAAAACAAGGCGTCTACTCAAATATGTATATCAATTAAATAACGTTTAGTTTAATAACATATACGGTCAGAATAAAACTTTAATTCATTAATTCCATAGAAAATAACTCCCTCTCATTCTCTCTCTCGCTCTCTCACACACACACACACGCACACACACACATATATATATATATATATATCAATCAGCAAAGTGTTAAACCTTATACCTTCTTAATTCTCTCTATCTCCACACACACACACACACACACATATATATATATATATATGTGGAGATAGAGAGAATTAAGAAGGTATAAGGTTTAACACTTTTACTTGGTTGATGAATCTCGTCTCCAAGTTCGTAGATGGACCCGTCCGTTACCTTGTCGGCGGGTGTCAGCAATATATATATATATATATATATATATAAATATATATATATATATATATATACACAGTGTAACCCGGATATAAGAGAGTTCTGGGGACCAGAGAAGAAGTCTCTTATATCCGGGTTTCTCTTATATCCGGGTTTGGTCTATTTTATATACATTAACAAAGGCTCTAATTTGGGACCAGAGGAAATCTGTCTTATATCCGGGTTTGTCTTATATCCGGGTCTCTTATATCCGGGTTACACTATATATATATATATATATATATATATATATATATATGTCTAATGGTAGCAATAATGTAACAAGTACAGACTGATATATTTGGGATGTTATTTTTTATCCTTACTTTTAGGCAAACGCGCATTTTTATTGGCGTTTATGGAAGAGAATCCTTTGTTGTTTACTCAACTTAACTATGTTTGGCATGAGGCCATAAGTATGTGGCACCCACTGACGATTAATCTCACTACTCATTAGGATTTTCCAACCAGACAAACTCGCATTCATTACCCGGCTCCGAGGCACCCGAGCGGACCTTTTGTTAACATTCATTTGTGTGAATTTGTCGATGTGTGCCCTTCCGCGGAGAAGTGCTTTCGAACGATGAATTTGGAAATGATGGGCAGATAACGATCGGAAGTTGTCTATTTAAGTGTGGGGGGAAAAAATCGCTGGAGAGACATTATTGGGCGTAAAAAAAAATAAACAAACAAAAAAGAACACACAAACAAACAGAACAAAACAAAAATACAAAAAAGATACGAATTTGAAGTTAACATTTGCCAGTAATGCCCTTTCTTTTTTATTTTATATTTGAATTCTTTCCTTTCTATTGCAACGTTGTTTTTCATAATACCCTGACACGTGTTAGGAGAGTTAGACTGGGTATTTTGAGATGAAAATTAATTAAAGATTTTAATCTGGGAAAAGGTAAAAAAAAAAAAAAAGGTCTTAGTTTAACTCGAAAAAGACCACCTGTTCGAGTGCCACCCACCTCGCACTCGCCCGGATGCACACACATACACACACGCACACACACACACACACACAATGTTCTCATTCGCGCAAATTCTGACATGTACTTATAAATGCACAATACAATGGTCGATATATGCATGCATTTTCTTTATTCATGATACACTGTGCACATATAAATTTGCGTCAAGTTAAATACATCAAGAAGTTTGTAGCCTAAATTTATATTATATAGCCTAAATTTAAATAAAGCATTTATTTTACGTAACAAAATCTTACCTCTCTCTTCTCCCCTTTCTCTCTCCCTTTCTCTCTCTCTACATATATATATATATATATATATATATATATATATAGAGGGTGATTGAAAAGTAACTCCCTATTTTATGTATAATGGACTCTCCCCTCTAACTATAATTTTTTACAAGACGGGAGAGTCCATCATACATAAAATAGGGAGTAGCTTTACAATCACCCTGTATATTAAACAGTATATTTAGCGAGACTTGCTTCGTTTAAACATGTTTTATTAAATTCTGCCGAAGGACACACATCTACAAATTCGTGCAAATGAATATTAACAAAAGGTAGGCCTGGGTACCTCCGATTTGGGTAATGAATGCGAGTTTGTCTGGTTGACGAACCCTCAATGTGTAGTGAGTTCAAGTATTCAATGGGTGCCACATACTTATGGCCTCGTGCCAAACTTAGCTAAGTTGAGTAATCAGCAACAAATTATTCACTTTTATAAATCCCCAACACGTGTGCGTAAAGTATTAAACGATATGTTATATATAAATGAATAAAACGAATCCCACTACAATTGGAACTCGGCTCTCCGATTAAAATTTCCGAGCCATTATTCATTACTTTACCCTCACATCCAAGACTACAGGACCTGATATTCTCAAGCGGTCGCCTATCTTGTTACTGATCAGGTTCAACGTTGCTTAACTTCGGTGATCGTACAGGAAGGGGTGTTTGAACGTGAGTGGCCGTAAGCCTTCTTAAGGAATGAACCAGTCTATAGATTTCATTATTTAACTATACCATTTCAGCTAACATAATTAGATTTCATTTTTTATGGATTACCTTCTTTTTGATAAAACGATTGTTTATAATCCCAGATTTTTCAACAAGAATTAATTTCTTGAAAGGTCTTTATCTTTGCTGTTTCTGAAGGCATGTAAATTTAACGTCATTGACATTTGGATAAGACCTTTTAATTTTTATTCGCTCTCAATATATGCAGCATTGCGTTACGAATAAACTAGGCAGAGATCTTAGAAGTATAGAGTCGAGGTAGACTTTACAAGGAACCGGAAACCCAGTCGTAAACAGGAAACAAGGGATAAAACTCTACTCCTGTTCAAAAGACCGGAGAGGAGTGTTACGTTTATGTTGACTAATTGCGGGTTATTGCTATGACTAGACGGATTTAAAAAATATATTCGTGTTGTTTGATCCTCACTGTGTGACCTGTCATGGCAACATTGTGTTTGGCGAACTTAAGCTCAGAACACCAAATGTGGAGAACGCCTGGTATCGAACGATGTTTTTCGAAATAATCTTACAAGCCAGTCTGTGGAGTTCGCTTCTCACCGGATACTGCATTAGTGGTCTCCTATCAGAATAAAATAAGTTTCGTAAATAATAAAGTTGTGGTCTAATATAAATATGTTTCAACAGAAAATTAAATATTTCTGGTAATGGGCGAAAATTGTGATTATTAAATATCAGACTTTGCAATACGTTTTATCTAATAATTATCCTAGAAAATGTCGGTCCTATATCGAGTTATAAATACATTTGTTAGTGGTCAGCAGCTAACGATCATTTGCGAAAAGAATTGACCAATTATACGTATAATATGAACACACCTATCTATCTATCTATCTATCTATCTTAGTCGTCCATGACTCAGCACAACTTTCTGCCCTTTTCTACTCTCAACAACATTTTCTTAATTATGACACCTTATTCTTGCATCAATTATGCCTCAGCATATGTTACAGAAACAATTTTGAGATTTAAAAACATTTATCAACAATCTTATAGTAATTTATATCATTTTAATTATCCGGGCTGTTATCTCCATGTTCACTGCCATATGCAGAAAGTTTCGGACGTTGTGCTCCGGCCTTCGTCAGGTGATTGGAATTTCGAACCGAAATCTTTATGTCGGCAACGGGAGTGTTCTAGTTCCACGTGCCATGCCTCTTCCAGATGTCTCAGTTATTTCGTTTTAACTCAACACTCCACGTTTTTGGTTCTGCACTGTTGCAGTCAGATTAATGTAAATAATGTAAATAGTCATAATATCTCAGAGATATAGACAGAAGTCTTATAGTCGTTATTGAGTTTGTATGTAGTATTGTGTCCCTGGTTTTATCAGGGTTAATTGCGTCATTGTCTTCTTGGTGGATTTTGTAACCTTTCCTTTTGGCATTACACATGAAATAATTAGGAGATCGGAGAAGTCTAAAAGTATTTTCATGTATTTCTCTTCATTATTTAAATACTTAGCATGACAAATTCTAACCGTCCTTAAATGGAAACCTATAATTATTTAGATTTTCATTTTGTCCTGGTGTGAATTTTATCATTCGCTTAGGCAGATATATCGATTTAAATACGGTATATAGGCAAGTGTGCATACAAATGCATGTAAATCTATTTAAACTCGGTGAGTGGAAAAAAACCTGGATAGCACAATTTTCAAACAAATTGGCATCCGAGGAAAAAAATTTGAAAAAAAAAAGAAGAAAAGAAAAAAACAGAAACCACCGAACAAGGCGAAAGAAATCGTTCAGTACCTTAAATTTCTGGTATAAAGAAGGGGGGAAAAACAATATCGGGAAATAAGTTAAAACGAAGAGTGTTCAATACGCTAAGTAGAACGAAAGTAAAATAAATAAATCCTAATGAGCCAGGTAATACCTACCTACTGGTCAGTTAAACCTGATGATCCCATGTGGTGAAACCTAGGTAGATAGTACCTGGCTCATTAGGATTTATTATATATATATATATATATATATATATATATATATATATATATAATTATTTATCTAAAAATTATAACATAAATATGTTATAAAATCACTATAAAAATAGCCATTTTGTTTCAACACCTCCGGTGTCTTATCAAGTGATGATGTTGAATGTAAAATAAATGGTTTTAAAAGTTTCAAATTAATTAACGATCCTACGTAGGATCGTTAATTTATCATTAATTAATTATTTAAATAAAAGCAATAAATCAAACCATGGTACTTTCCTTTAATCATGAAACAGCAAAACGTATACGTGATTACGAAAAGATCTTATCAAAAATAAACAAAGAAAACATGTCTAAATTGTTTAATCAGACATGCTTCAATATATATATATATATATATGAGTATAGCCTGAAATAGACTATACTCATATGAGGTAATTTTGAATTTTTTGCTGTGTAATTTATATGCTCTGTTATAATAAATACATTGAGCTCTCTTTGTGGATCAGTTTTTAATATTTGATATTATTTGGATCCATCTGGATTATATACCAACGGATCTATTACCTGTAATATATATATATATATATATATATATATATATATATATATATATATATATATATATATATATATTAATGTATATTTTAGGCAGCAATTTTTCATTGATGCATGTTTCATTAAATAATATAGACAAGTTGTGTTTTTTTTGTTTCGAGTTTGCCATTGCGTTGATATTTGATCTAACAAAAACAGATTATCATTATTGTTTCGTCCGTGTATTGTTTGATATATTGAAATGTAATTGTCAACCGTAAACCGAAAGCTTAGATCGGATTTAAACATGTATCAATATGGTGATTTCGTTTCGTCTTTCAATGATAATGCTATTAAGCTTATCAGACAATATGAAAGTAATTTACTTAAAATAAATAGACCCAACTTGTCTATATTTTTGAATGAAACATGCATATATATATATATATATATATATATATATATATATATATATATATATATATTCGTGGATATTGAGGACAACGCCAAGCGGCAACAAACTGGTTTATCTTTTAACTCAATATTGATCCTATTGATCTTAGTAGACCTAATGTTAATTACGGAATATAGCAGTACATTGTGACCGTGTTCATAACTGATGATATTAAATGTTGTTTTTTTGTTTTATACCTGAAGCATGAAATAGACGGCCCACATTTACATACAACCTATCTCTGATACCCATAAATATACCATAACTTAAAACTATATTTTTATATTATTTGCATATATATATATATATATATATATATATATATATATATATTAAAAAAAGAAGAGGGGGGTGCCGCAAACGTTTTTGGTTGTAATGTGGATTTATTGAGAAAAATATTATACTTTGTTTTACATAATTTCACGACACGTGTTTCTGGTCTGGTCTCTCAACCGTCTTCAGAAAAAGTGGAATTTTTTTACATATTATTAAAATAATTAATTTTTCTTCATGTTCAATGTGGAATATTCTCGATATGAGACATTCTGTTTGAAACACGTGTCGAGAAATTACAGAATATAATATTTTTCTCAATAAATCCACATTATAAAAAAACGTTTGGAACCCTCTCTTTTAATATACATATACTTTTCTCTCGTTGGAACCACTATATATTTCTTTTATATATATATATATATATATATATATATATATATATATATGTGTGTGTGTGTGTGTGTGTGTGTGTGTGTGTGTATATATATGTGTGTGTGTGTGTGTGTGTGCGTGTGTGTGTTAAGGAATATCAAATACTTAAAATACCATAGGTAATAATCTTTTATTTCATGATAGCTATAAAAATAGCCTTCAATCTTTCAAACCTGCAAACCAAATAAATAATTTTGCTCTGTTTAGGATATAGAGCTCTCCTTGAATCTTTATCCTCTTGGAAATTCTATACGGATTATCATTTTAATTTACCTTTTTATCTATCTATCTATCTATCTATCTATCTATATATATATATATATATATATATATATATATATATATGCTCGTGCGTGTGTTTTACTAAGCTGAGGTTAATGTTTGTCAGACCGTCATACAAATCAGTGCTCTACGGTTAGGTACGCACACACATTATATATATATATATATATATATATATATATATATATATATATATATATATATATATGTTCGCGTGTATAAGACAGTCAAATATAATGAGAGAAGCATTTATTTAGCAAATCAAATCTCCATAGCATAATCTTCTTCTTTTCAATGCACTTAATTAAATAGTGAATAATAAATCGAAACTTACGCGGTGAAAATTAAAAATTCAGTTCATAACGACAGATCAGACTACAGGTCATTCATCGTGGGTGAGGTGCTGGGGCGGTGGACACCGTAAATTTAAAAAAAAAATAACAAAACAAAAAAAAAAAAACGCCTCAATGTCAGCGAGCAAACGCTCCAATACGGTAGACAGACAGAGAACAGGAGGAAGTCGAGCGATCGATGCGTAAACAAAGACACGTGGAGAAAGAGATGCGCATTTGCAACCGTATTGTGTTTATATTTAGAAGTAGAAAAGAATGCAAATCAGCTGTCAGCAAAATCGACACAAATGGTATCGAACACACGAACACAACGAGTATAGACAAGAACACAATGACATTAAAGTCTATTGTTACACGGCGATCCGTTTAAGAGTGTAAGTAACATCCTTCATAGGCGATTCCTTTTCTGTCAGTGACGAACAAATAATGTCATGTTAAGAAGAGGATTATATCATTTACCAAAAAATATAGGATTTTTTTCTTTCTTTCCTTTCTTTTTCTTTATTTCTTTCTCAATTTTCGTCCTTCTTTCCTTATTGCTTTCCTTCCTTCTTTTTTCTTTCGTTCTTTCCTTCATTCTTTCCATTTCTTGCTTTCAATTCATTGGTGACTGCGATAGATAAAAAAAAATGTCCCCCGTATGTCTAATTAGGGTTCAATAT